CCCGCTGAAGGTGGGTTTGTATCTCTTAACACTTCTCTGAAGAATTCTTTGGTCTTGGATTTTACACCGTAGCCAAATGACAGTTTGGGCAGCTTTTAGTCATGTTCTTTTTCAATGTTGCTTGAGTTTAGTAATTGGAAGGAGCAAGATCAGGGGCGTAGGGTGGGCTGGGTAAGGTTTCCCAACGGAACTCTTGTGGACCAGCCCTTGCTCCCTTTGAAGAATGAGTGGGTGCAGGGAGTGATGGGGGGAAATTGCTCCATACAACCTTCCTGCCCTTTTCTCACCACCGTAGCATTTAGTGTTTTGAAAATTTCTTCCTAACAAGCCCTGTGATCATGATAGGGATCCTTGAAAAACTCCAAAAGAGTTACCACAACCTTCTGAGCTGACCTCTGCCTTGCATTCCACTGGCCCCGCAGAGCCACTCAGAAGCCACTGTTGTGATTGGACCTGCTGCTTTTTGGAGGGACGCTATTGAGACTGAGCCCTTGTCCGTAGCCAACCACAAACCACTAAGAGACATCAAACATGTTTTCTTTGGAATAAACATGTTTACATGTATGAACTGGAAGCCTCGTGGTGATACTGTTTTTGACTAACCCTCCTGTATGTATTGGCAGGGGATGGGGTGGGGTGGAGACTGGGATGAATTACTTGGGTCAGGATACCGTGGAGACACACCAGGTAGAGATACCCACAGCCCAGCCCAGTGCTCGTGTCTGTGTCTTGCATTAAGGAAGGAGCGTGGGATGGGGCAGGGCAGGGGCGCAGCTGGGATCTGATACCCTGGAAACCTACACTGGGCTGGGCCTGGGAGTGGAAGAAATGGAAGAAACTCAAAGGAAGTGGGGGGAATATGTGCGATTCTGGTGACGGGGATTTGGCCACGCCAGGAGGGGTGTGGGGTGAGGGGAGAGCTGTCCTGGCAGTGGGCATTTGGCTCGTTTTGACCACCTTTTCCATATGTTACCTGGGGTCAGCCCCGTCATGGCGTGTCTAACGTTTTTTCATGGTAACGTTGACCCACCTTTGAAAAGGGGTGACTTTGGAAGACTGTCGGGGGCTAGAAGCAAAGCCTTGAAGGAATGAAGGGTTAAGAAGGATGTAGACTGGATCGTGGTTGAAAGACAGCAGAGCAATCGCACAGGAAGCGTCCTCTGTCAGGTGGGTGAGGCGGCTGGTTCGGAGCTGTTTGCCTGCTTCAGGTTCCCATGGTGGGCAGTTAGTGAGGCCAGCCGGCATTTTCTCCTCTGGGTTACTGTTAAGCGCCGTGGAGCCATCTGGTCTCCAAGCAGCCCGTGTGTGACAGAGTAGGATGGCCCCGTTCGGAGTCCTTACTGCCCACCAGGTCTTCCTTCTGTAGAGTCAAGGGCAGGGGGTGTTTGAACAGGCAACCTTTGCACCTGCGTAGTGCTTAGAAGATAGAATATCCAATACAGTGAAGGTGGTCTCTTTGTAAGTTATGTCCATTGATGGTAAAAAGGATGCAACCTTGGATTCAAATCTGCCACTTCTGAGCTGTGTGAGCGAGTTAATAACTTCTCTAAGCCCTCTGTCTCCTCAGATGTGCAGTGGAACTGAATCATAGTTCACACACACACACACACACACACACACACACACACACACAATGAGCGAGTTAATAACTTCTCTAAGCCCTCTGTCTCCTCAGATGTGCAGTGGAACTGAATCATAGTTGACACACACACACACACACACACACACACACAATGGGGTTACCCCCCTAAAAGACAGATGTGATATGAGGGGGATAGTGCAGTTGGAGTTGATTCCACCCGTTCAAATTGTTCATCAAGCTTTCTATTTAGGGGGCTTAAAAAAATTGCTTAACTGTGTGACAAAAAAAGATCTGATTTATGGCAGACAGGGGACTGGTTTTGCCACCACGACAATGTACCTGCTCACACAGCCATTTCAGTGTGCCCGTTTCTTGCAAAAAACAGC